TCTGTCCGTCTGCCTCACCACACGTGTCTGTTACCATGGCCTCATGCTGCCTTTTTTTTTTTTTTTAAAGACACATTTACCTTTAAACCCTGACAATCAAGGATTGGGTCCTTTACTTGCTAGTCAGGGATCCTCTCTCTGAACCTTAGGAAACCTAAGAAGCGCTTTCAAATCTGCAGTCAGCACACCACACAGTAGAGGTTAGATGCTATTGCTACTTCCACAGATCAAGAAATTATCACCACCTCCTGTGAATTAAAGTACCTGGGATAGAGAAATCCTTTTAGAGCTTTAGAGACAGATTTGTGGAAACGCGTTTCATCAGGATGTGTTCGTCAGCTCGAAGCCGAACATGTAAATAAATAAAGTATATAACACAAGTCCACTTTGCCACGTGGCATCACTGTCAGTTTGTCAAATTGGTACGCAGACTGTGTAGGGCTGCGGTCGCATTGTGGTGTCGGTGGCACCACAAGGTTCCCGAAAATGAGAAAGATGAAAGATTGTCGTCTATTTTGATACCAGAGGAGACATTTATTTTTGTAAAAAAGACTGATTTCCTTCCCACTCTCCCGAGTCTACCTGTTGCCTGGATGATTCTCAATGTGATTGAGCATTGACCAATTATTAATGATTATTTGTATAATTGTACATACACACAGTTTGCAAAGGACCTTGATGCTATGAGCCTAAACTGTTGTTATTATGCTTCTCTGTAAAAGGTTTTGGATCTTGGGTTTTGTTTTTTTCTTTCCTCTCTCCTCTTTGCTGTAACCTGATGAAAAATGAGAGAAATGAGACCAAAGGGCAGACTGGAAAACCAGCGCTATACTGGTCCACCAGGCAAACTGGATCTTATGAGAACTTCCAATGCTCAAATAAGTAGACATAATAAATATAAATGTTGTGCAATGAAAAAATAAAATATTCTCCTAACAAGGCTAAATTTAAGTGTTGTGTTTACTGTTTACTTGTACTTTAAAACGAATTAAAAGGAAATGTAATTTGGAGCTTTCTGATGAACAGACTGATATTTGGACATTCAAGCTGGTACAAATTTGCAGGAATCAAAGAC